CTCGACATTTTTCCATGAGCGAGTGGTGTATGTACTGGTTTTCCTTGCGCGTCTCGCTCCGACCCGAGATCCACGGCGAACGTGCGTGTCGGCGAGTGCACCAGCAACCGCTCCAAATCCGTGAACTGGAGCTTCAGAAATCCTGTCGAGCTGGCCGCGAGGTGCGAAGGCACTAGATGAACATCGATGACATTTACAGTCATGGGGGTGTCCTGCATGTCGTCCATGACATTCGATATGTCCGGCAGTTCAAGGCGCGCAACATACAGCCCGGGACGCGCTGTCTCCACAACATGCCCCGTGATAGCGTCCCCTGCTGTTCGTACGAAGGCCAGCGTGCGCACGCGCCCTTGCCCAAAGCTGACGACCGGTGTGAAATGTCTGCCCTGCGGAAGCCCCGCCACCTCCCAAGACCGCCGTGACTCCATGTCTGCAATCTCGAAGGTCGAAAACACGTTGGTATCAGTCGGATTCCCATCCTGCCACCGCGTGTGTATCACAAATTGCGAGTCTGGGATAAATGACGGTGCAAAGTACGCCTTGTTAGATTGTAGGCGCGGGACCTCTGTAGTTGAGTTCGTGGCCAAATCATACACATAGGTGACTCCGGCGCCCTCGAAGGTGGCGCGGGTACCAGTATAATCGACGGAGAGCTCCCGAAGCGCCCGTATCGGCTGCATGGGCTGTATTTCGATGGCCGTAAGGTTGAGAGTTTCCTTGCGTGTATCTGCCAGGTAGATCTCCAAGTGCGCCGTGAACTTGATAGGAAACGGGATGCCTCCGGCAATGCGCTCACCGCGCGCATTGAGTGCGAGTGGCACCCGCCATATCTGCCCGGCGGCCCAGATGATTATTGCGTTGTCGGCGGGAGTGAAAGCAAAGGACGGATATGTACCAGGGACGCCGCCAACGAGCTGTAGATCGTGTGATAGACCGTCCCAGACGTGGTGTAAGGTGCCAGAGACGAGATCTCTGAGGAGAGTAAGCCACCAAGGATGCGGCGTAGGCTAAGGAGACATACAGAAGCATGAGGGCCTGTTTATCGCGCAACCGGCGTACGAAGGCAAGTGTGCGTTGATCTCTTGACAATTCGGGCCTGCTCGCCCCACCTGGAAGTGCATCGACAAGCTTTTCAGTTGTCTCTGTCGTAAGATTGTACGCGAAGATGGCGTAGACCCCCTTGTGCACGTCTAAATAGCGATCAGTGCTTGCGAACCACAAGCGTTGACGACACGTACTCTGTCCGTACTCGTAACCACCGTCCTTCTGCACGTTCTTGGAATAGATGATTGCATCGTTACCCCACCACAGAAGCTGCTCGGGGCCTAGATTGACGTTGTTGTAGTCCTCCGACTTCCAGCCTCGCGGCAAGTCACGGATGACCGTACGATCCCCAGCGCCGGCAGAAACAGTCCAATAACATGTGGCCGACTGAGGTGGTACAGTATAAATCCAGCCCTCACCGCCCGGAATGGTGATGGTCCCGGTGAACCATTTCTGTGCGATAATGCGCTCACCAGACGGATGCCAGCGTGGGTCGCTCACAAACCGGAACGTCTCGTTTGTGACGCGCATCGCATCGAGCCGACCCTCGCGAAGCAAGCGCCGGGATCGTCGCTCAACTGTCTCCGGTAGACCTGCCCCAAGCAGCGTGTCGTCTGCGTCGCGCTGAGATAGCGCTGCAGCGAGGTCCGGTGATACGTCAGCTGTGGGGCGAACATCCATCGCAGCGCAACCGTGCCAGGGAATGACCCAGATGTTCTCGAGACCGAGCCCAGCGTCAGACCGAAAAGCCAGGCGCGTCCCATCCGGCGAGAAATGTGCGTCGGATTCGCTCGGAACGCCCAGCAGCACTGGCCTAGCGCGTGCAGGTATGCTATCGTCGTCCGCCGCGATACAGTAAATGTCGCCGAGTATATCGAAGACGATGTCGCCAGACGTTGGGTGTACGTCGAGACGAAGCCAAGTCCCTTCGGAGACGTCGGCTTCATAGCGACGAGGATACGGGAAATCCGTGGAGATGTCCCATGGCGTCTGTTCGCGAAGAGGCCATACATCGTCGCGCCAGTCCCGTGCTGGATCCGTGAGCACGATCGGCGGGGCTGCGTGAATACGCTGTGTACCACCGAATGACCAGAACAAGGCCGCCGCTGCCACGGAGAGCACAGACATTGCCACTAGCTGGGCGTAGCGCTGTCGTACACGCACAGACGCGCCAGGTGCGGCGCCCTTCATGATGGTTAGGGAAGACGTTGCACGGTACCGGGTACAGATCCCTGTTGGATGTTCTCAGCGTGCACGCTCTTATCGTCGTCGGGTTTGTGGTCGTATGATCCTTATCTGATTGGCTCGTTAGGCGCCCACAATAAGGTGCTCTTGAGCCGCTCGGAGAGAGTCAGCCCGTCCTCGTCCAGATTGTTGATAGTGCACTGCGATTCCGATGTGGGCACTGTCGCGAACGCGTCCGAACTTGCTTTCGCCATGAAAATTTTCATTCGGAATCGTGGTTGCGGTCCTGCGGAAGACCCGAACCGGGAAAGCGTGGGAGATCGTGCACGTGTAAGTCATGTGATGTTGTCAACGGAACTCGTCGGACCGGTGACCGGTCATGATCATCATACAGATCAATGTTCGCACAGTGACAAAATTGGAGATTCGTCTTTACTTTGAATTCTTCTTGCAAAGACGCGTCGCCGCCACTCCAACATACTCACGGCCGTATAGGCGATATGGTCCGGTCTGGGCGTTTAGCTCTTCTCGTTTTCCACAGACGCCCCCACGACCCGGCGCGCCCGCCGTTGTGCGCACAATGGCCTCACAGGAAACTGATGCCAAGTCCTGCCAAGCCTCCTCGTCGCCAGGAGCTTGCCTGAGACTGCTCGTAAGCGCTCGGACGTCGCGCAGGGCGTGCCTTCCTTTCATCATGGGCCGCCGACAGTTTCTCCGAGCCTCACACAGTATAAAAGGGCTTGCTAGGTGGATGTTTTTCTTCACCAGTGTCACATTTCTCTGTCTCTCTTTCCCCTAGCCAGGCTTGCCAGTCAACCTTCCCTCTTTTGTCCCCACGTTCGCTCTCCGGGTTCTTCTCGTTCTTTGAAGTCTTCACGCAATCCTCCTCCACCTTCTACCACTTCATTCAACCTTATCCATTACAATGAAGGCTAACTTCGCTGCCGCATCTGCCGCCGCCGTGCTCGCGTTTGTCCAGCCTACTCTGGCGCATTGTGAGTGACCCTTGTCGAGCGACATGCCGCCTGAATGACTGATCATATATCCCAGACCGCTTCACCTCGCTCATCGTCGATGGCACGGTCACTGGCGAATACGAATATGTTCGCGCCAACACGAACATGAACAGCCCGGTGGAGGACCTGACCAGCACCGACATGAGGTGCAACGTTGGCGCCGACTCCGGCGCGTCCACCTCGACTTATGAGGTCGCTGCCGGCTCCTCGGTCGGCTTCAAGGCCGACCAGGCTGCCTTCCACCCGGGTCCCGCTGGCATCTACCTTGGCCAGGTCCCGGAGGGCGAGACTGCTGCCACCTGGGACGGCTCCGGTGCTAACTGGTATGTCTTCCCTTACTTTATGGCGTAAATTCAGCAGTACTGACGTATCCCAGGTTCAAGATCTACGAGCTCGGCGCCGACATCGGCGACGGCACGTTCACCTTCCCCACCGACATTGACACGTACGAGACGACGATCCCGTCCACCGTGCCCGCAGGCGACTACCTCCTGCGCATGGAGCACGTCGGCCTGCACTCCGCCGGCGCGCCGCAGTTCTACATCTCCTGCGCGCAGCTTACGGTCACCGGTGGTGGCAGCGCGAACCCGGCGAAGGTCGAGATCCCGGGCTACATCGCCGCGGACGACGAGAGCGTGTCGCTGAACATCTACTACCCCGTTCCGACGTCGTACGACTGCCCGGGCCCGGAGGTTTTCACAGATGGCACGACCGGCGGTGCTACCTCGGCTGCCTCCTCTGCTCCCGCCGCCACCTCGTCTGTTGCTGCCACCTCGGTCGCACAGTCATCTGCTGCTGAGACCTCCGCGGCCGCTACCTCTGTCGTCGAGTCGAGCGCCGCCGCCCCTTCGTCCAGCGCGCCTGCCACCTCTGCTGTCGAGTCGAGTGCCGCCGCGACCTCGGTCGCCGAGTCTTCTGCGGCCGCGACCACTGCTGCTGAGACCTCTGCCGCCGCGACGTCTGCCGTCGAGACCAGTGCTGCTGCCCCGACCACGTCTGCGGCTGCTACCTCCGCCGCACCGTCCTCCAGCGCCGCAGCTCCCGCGACCTCCGCCCCGGCGTCCGGCAACACCTACAACGACTGCTGGAATGCGTACAACAAGTGCGCCGCGGCTGCCAACTCTGCACCCAACAACGGTGGTGCCGTTGACGTACGTCTTCTCTCATTTTGATCAGTCGATCTACCAGTGCTCACGAAACTCTTCTAGTTCTCCGCTTGCGAGACCGAGCGCGCGACCTGCTTGTCAGGCATCGCCCGCCGCATGCACCGTCGCAAGGCGCTCCGCGCCTAAGCCGCTCACCTCTCCTGCTCTCGACTTCTTTGCTCTTTCGGAAGCCAGAGTGAAGCTTGAGCCGCAGCGCGTCTCGGGCTCCCGCTTCCATTGTCTGCTCACACTCGGGCTGTTTACTCTTTTGCCTTGCTAGCTAGCTAGCTCTCAGGGTCGTGAGCGACGAGCACTTCTCCCTGGTCCGAGACCCCGTTTACCTATAACACCCTACCCTGAATTTGGCATCCTGGCTACATACACAATATACATCTGCTGAGGCAATGTCCTGCGTGATTGGCTTAATTGGCAATCTTTTCCGTCACAAGGATGAACATGCCCGTGGTATATACCTCTGCCATGCCAAATGCTGGTCTCTAAGGCAGACACGCAAAATGCTGCGTCCAGACGTTCTGCGTGTATCCTCACCAGCAATGTGCGTAGCCCTGGTATTTGTATATTTGTATAGCACGTCCTGCATTCAAGTGAGTCCCTGCTAGCTCAGTGGTAGAGCGCCTCACTAGTATCTCACCAGACGCTATGAGGAGGTCAGTCGTTCAAGTCGGCTGTGGGGAATTCGCGTCAGTTCCGTTACATGTTTTGTTTTTGCAACAGACGGCGCCTGTCTCCAAGGTTGCTGAAGTTGGTCGGCATCAGTGCGAGAAGATATCGTATGATGTACAAATTCATGACGATTACACTGGAGTACATAGATAGGGTACTTGCAACCTACATTGACAGCAGCCTGCATACAGTGCTCAACCGCCTGTGCACCGCGCTTAACCGCCTGTTCACAGTCCCTTCACCCACTCGCTATGCCGTCTCGCCAGCTCCGCGACGATGTCCTCTTCGATCTCCTTCGCATGGTGCGGGGCGACGCCCGGTCGCGCGTCCGCGTCAATGCGCAGCCAGGTTTCCTCGAAGGTGGATGCCGATTTCGCGCTGGTTTGTTGCGACGCCTGCTCCTCGGTTGTCTGCCCCACCTTCCGTGACACGAATACGACCTCGTGCTTCCTGCGGTTCAGATCGTTCCCGATGACGACCTGATGCCCGTACCGCTCGAGCGCGCCGCGTGCTTTGGGAATGAGCAGTGTGGGGTCGGTCTCGAGCTGGGGAGATGTCAGTGATGTGTTACTCGGCCAGAGGTTCAGTGGTCCACACACTAACCTTGAACGAGACCACGAAGCCATCTGGGGTCCATTGGTCGACCATGGGTTTCAAGATTTTGGGGACTTGGTCCATCTCGATCTGCAAGCTCCCCTTGCCTGACTGAATCTTGTGTTCGGACTGGAAAAGAGGTTAGATGATGCAGTGCTAGAGTGCGAGTGAATTGTGCCTCACCATCTTCTGCGTCGGCAGGAAGAAATCGCTGACAGCCGCGGCGAGGTAGTACATCACCTCGCGCCCGTAAACCGCAAGCTCCTTGCTCACTGCGCGGAGCAACCATAAGTAGTCGTTGACAGTCACAAAAGTGAGGGTGTGCAACACGCCGCGGTCGTGAACGTCCTTGTAGGCGGCGAGGACCTCAAGGAGCTCGTCGCGGCGCTCCGGGGCGACGATAATCTGCTTCGTCGCGGACGGGTTGGATGGGTCCTGATGGATTTCAAGCAGATCCAGGAAGGGATTCGTGGAGTGCGAGTAGTGCCGGCTGAAGGGCTGCAGGCTGAACTGCCGGTGCATGAAGATGACAGCGTAGCCCGCGCGGAGGAAGTACTCGGCGGACGTTGCGCCACGCGTCCCTGCACTGAAGTTGTCCAGGAAGCGGACGCTGGAGGATGTGTGTGAGGGATGGGACGAGTGAGCTTTAATGCGTGTGCTGGGCGTGCACCCACGCACACGTTGAGTTCCAGCGGGACGGTCGTACCGCCGCTCTACAGACACGAATGAGTACGATCGGAATGCGAATCAAGCAGACACACCGTTATGAGCACTATCCTCTGTCCCCTTGCGCGACATTGCTCGACGAAAGCGCGGACGCCTGCCGCATCGCGCGCGAGGTTTGGGGGAGCGGGCTGGGTGGCGAAGTAACTGTCCGCTGAGAATGTTGTGGGCTCGAAAGAGGAGACGAAGGGTTGGGAGGATGGGTGGGGTAACGGGGAAGCATCCATTCGAGACGATTGGCCCGCCGATGTTGACATGATGCGAGGAGATGACGCGGGTGGCGCGTACTTGTACTGATTTCGGGCTTCAAGCGTTTCGCAGAACGAGAGACCTTCAAAAGTAATCCAACTCGCGGGGGAGGATGGGGGGATCACAATGTACGACGTTGAGAACCTACAGCGTCTTGGACTGATCACTGTCCTGCCGGTCAGACCGGCAATACTCCACGCGGGCACCGGTGGACCCTGGGTGGACCTCAAGCAGGAAGCCGTAGACTTGAGTACGTCGTGCTTCAAGCTTCAACAATGCTTCATCTAGACTCGGATATTGAGACACTGCACGCGAATGGTAGATAGTCGAAAGCTATAGGTTGCCTCTAAAGTAGTGTTTAAACACGCAGATAAATAGTACTGTCCTATGCCATGCGAATAGTAACAGGCGCCGACAACCCGTGAGAGGGCTAGGTATATCACAGAACCATCGAACAGGAGACGTACATGAACAACTGTAGATTGTGAATAACCAAGATCCCCGTGCCACAACTCGCGCCGACCTACCAACCGCGATTGCGCTCACCGCCCAGCACCAATCGTCTCTATCGTCCGCCACAAATGACACCTACCGCCGCCCAATCCGCGCCCAAAACATGTCCTCGCGCAAGCGCACGAGCTCCTTCCAAGTGCGCTCCTCCCACGTCGCCTCTCCAACGTAGATCCCGGACTTCGCCGCGTCTTCCTCCGAAGCGCTAGCGCTGTCGTCCTCCGCGGCATCAGACGAGACACCGTTGATGCCATTCACAACGCCGTCGATACCGCTGACCTCTTTGATGGTAGCGTCGTCCTGCTCTGACGTCTCGCTATCGAGCGAGACCGTCGGTGCCAAGGATGCCGCAGGCGTCGGTTTGGGCGAGAGGATGATAGATTGTGGTGAAGGTTCTGGGTCCGTGTTATCCACAGACGCCTCCACAGGAATACCCTCCGGGGGCGCGACTTCATAATTCGAAGGCTCAGCAGATATCGACGGCTCAGCAGCAGCATCCGAAGACTCCGGCACAGCGTCGAGCGATTTTCTCTCTGAACCGTCCGTCGACTTGCGCTCCGAGCCACCCTCCGACGGCTGCTCCTCATGCGCGTCCACAAACGCAGCCTCCGTATCAGAGGATCCCTCCTCCTTCATAGCCGGCGGCGACACTTTGCGACCCTCCTTTTCCTCGTCGTCACCCGCCTGTACATCAGCTGCTGGAGCCGGTGCGTCGACCGCTGGAGCTAGTGCTGCCGCTAGCGGCGACGCACCCAGATCGCTGCTCTTGCGGATGTGCGCCGACATCGGCCGTGCGCCTCTCGCCACAGCGCGCCGCGGCACCGGCGGTGGGCCTCCAGTAGCGACAGGCGGCGTCTCCGCCCTCGGTGGCGGCGTGCCCGCGGTCATACTCAACCGCGCCGCAGCACGCGGCGGAAGGATTGGAGGGCCGCCTGTCGGGGTACCAGGCCGCGACGCCGGACCCGCGCGTACAGGAGTGCCGGGGCGCGACTCAGGAAGCGGGACCGTCCGCGGAGAGGCAGGCGGCGCGGGTATAGATGCAGCAGTGGCAGGCGAACGCGCTTCGTGTCGGCGCGGCAGCGGTGGCGGCGCAGTAGGCGGCGGTGTCGGTGTGACTGTCGGTTCCTCCGAGCTCGTCCGTGCCACACTGCGACGAGGCAAGGGCGGTTTCGAAGCTGGCGGGTTCGACATCGTCGGGTGTACGGGTGGCGGGGACGGCAAGCCCTTCTGAATCTCAGGTAGGGTCTTCTCCGCTGATGGTGTACTCTCCATCGAGGGCGCCTTCTCCAAACTCGGCTTCTTCGACGGACTGGACGGACTCTTAGAGCCATCGGTCCAGCTCGCCGCGCGCTCACCTAGCGCACTCGCCATGCCCCACAACCCGCGGCGGCGTGGAGGTACTGGCGGCTTCTCGCCCGAAGGTGTTGTGACCGGCGATATAGCAGGGGGGATATTCGGAACCTCTTCTTCCCAAACCTTGTCGACAATGCCGGTGCGGACAAAGGCCCACAGGGAACATGTCGTGCGCATGCGGGAAAGACACCACCCATCTGGGCACAGAGGATAGATGGTTGTTGTCGTGCTAGAGTGGGAGTGGCTGTGCGTGTGGCCGTTGGTGTAGGATTGTGGAGAGCTGAGCGCGGATGAGGAGGGGCGCCCCGGCGATCCTGGGCCAGAAGATATGCCGAGAGGCAAAGGTATAGATGCTAGGGCGCCGGTAGATGTACCAGTGGGGAAGGTCAGGCGGAATATGAACACTTGTGATGGGAGTGGTTGGGGTGTGGTGGGAGACGCCGGGTTGCCCAACGCAGTTCCGTTACTAGACGCGAAGGGGTTGGAGAATTTGGACCACGAGCGGGCATTGAACTGTGGTAGTCCGGATATAGAGGGGTGTTGTGGTGGCTTCTGTAGCGACTCAGAAGGCGCGGAGCAGATGACCGTGCCACACATGGCGCACGAAACGGTGCCACCGCCGAGCACAGCAGGGACCTCCTGTGCGAAGGCGGCCGCAGACATAGGCTCAATAGTGAGCTGCCCGGTGTGGATGGCAGCGAGGACAGAGCGTCGTGAAAGCCAATTGAGTGACGGCGCGAGGTCGAGCCGAAGCGTGGGTTCGCTGGAATTGAGCGGAGAGTGAGTAGATAGCTCGGCAGAATATGCAAGTCACGCACGAGTCCTCGTTCAGCATGCGCGCGAGGAACGGCAGCTGCAGTAGTGTTGTCATCGCTGGCGCCTGCGGCGACTGAGGGTGGATGCTTCGAAGGTGCGCGACGAAGAGGAGGAACTCCTGGTAGGGGGAATGCGAGCTGAGAAGGCGCATCGGTTTGACGATATCCTCTCCGCGGTCGGCCCACTTCCCCTTGCCCATACGCATCTGCGCTTCGCGTACACGGCGCATCGCAACTTCCTTCTCCTCCTGCAGCGCCTGCATCTGCGCCTGCATCATTGCGACGGCCTCCTCCGCGATCTTGAGGGCGCGTTCAGACTCCTCAACCTTGCGCTCGCTGAGAGCACGCTGATAGCGTGCCTCCGCGACCATGGTATTGGCCTGGTCGAAGAGACTAGCGCTGAGGTCGTCAAGGTCCTTCTCAATCGCTATGCGGGCACTCTCAGCCTGTCCGCGCTGAGCCGCCTCCTCTGTCGCCTTCTCCATGAGACGGTTCAACTCCGTCGTGACATGGGACTTCTCGACAAGCAGTCCGGTGTTGAGCGCGGCGAGGTGCTGAGTCCGTTCGTCCTCGAGGGACGAGACCTTGGCGGATGAAGAGCGGAGCTGCTCTGTGGAGACATGGAGCTCGTCCTCGAGATCCGATACGCGGTTGTAGGACTTGACGAGCTTGCCGTTGAGCTGGGTGACTTGCGTGAAGAGGTCCTGGACTTGGGTGCGGAGGGAGTCGATGACCATGGCTTCTGCCTCTGAGTCGCGGTGCTTGTAG